GCCCACTGCACCACAGACACCCACTGCACAACAGACACCCACTGCACCATAGACGCCCACCGCACCATAGACGCCCACTGTACCATAGACGCCCACCGCACCATAGACTCCCACTGCACCACAGACAGACACCCACTGCACCATAGACGCCCACTGTACCCGGCACATCTCAGTCGGCGGTGTCAGGTACCTACCCGGCAGCTCCCCTACCTTCAGCCTGGTGGGCGGTAGTTCTGTGAGAGTGAGCCCAGCACACCTGTTTCAGGTGCCGCACCTCCCACAAGGACCACACCTGGAGGCATCATCGCACCTTCCTTCCCTCTAACCTGGGCCTTCTCAGTGGTGTCCCATCAGCATTTTGAGTGGGGCAATTCTTTACTGTTTGGGGTCTCTCCCATCCATTCCAGGGGACTTAGTATCCCCAACCACCTGTCACTGAAAGTCTGTCACAACCTCCCATCATGGTGACAAGCACAGGCCCTGTAGGGAGGTGACTCACCCCGCTGCAGACCACTGCTGCCAGGTGCTGACTCCTGGGGCAGGGCACAGGCATGGCACCAGCAGGGCAGGGTTTTGGGCAGGTATTGGGAATGAGACTAGGACAGCGTCAGGAATACTGAAGTCTTGGGGGAAAGCAGTCAGGAGCCAGGGGCTCTGGAAGCAAAGGAACTGAGTGTGGAAGGATGGCCCTGGAAGAGCACCAGGCCTGGGGGCCCAGAGGAGGAGGAATGAAGCAGCATAGGAAGGGAGTCCCTGGGGACAGGGGGCCTTCCACCTGAGCCAGCACTCTCAGTTGAAAAGGTAAGAACACCACATGCTTCATGGAGTTTCCCGCCTCCAGCTCCTGTCTAAATTCAGTCCTCTGAGCAGAGGCCCCACCTCTCTGTCCTGAGAAGATGCACCAGGTTGATGCCAGATAGCTCCGTGCCCTTCCACCTCCCCTGTCTCCACATGGCAACCTTGGCTGAGATGCTGGCCATGCACCCCGAGGCCCTGCCCCCACCCATCGCCAGCCTCAGATCCAGATGCAGAGACGGGCCTAGGACCACCAGCACTGCTACCCAGACATGACACCACCTGGCCCCGTCTGACATCCAGGTCAACTGCTGGTCTAGACATTTGCTGCCACCTCAACTAACTCCATGAGGACTGCATTAGGGCATGTGTCTTTGGCTGAGATGACCTTGAAATGTGATGCTGGCCAGCACCCTGTGCCCAGGCCGAGAAGCCAAGCCCAGAATATCTGCCTGCCTCGGCTCCATGGCAGCCGCCCCCTATGCCCCCACCTCAGCAGCCGCCTCACCTGTGCCCCCACCTAGCTGTGTGTTACTCCGCTCCACAGACAGCCCGTTGGCACGGGGGCTGGTGCCCGGGGCTGTGGTAGGTGTGGCTCGGGGCAGGCGTTTCCCAGGCACTTTCACCGTCGTCCGCAGCAGGTCAATCTCCTTGCCGTGGATGTTCTGCATGTAATCCTAAACATGCAGGTGGGTGAGACAGACGAAGACTGGTTAGCAGCAGCCATCCAGCACTGAGCCTCACAACTCCCAGGTCTGTCCCTGCTGTGGAAAGAGAGGGAACACTCCAATCTTGAAAAGCAGGACTCTAAGCCACAGAATGTCTCCGAGTCTGGATTACACCTGGGTCTCCACAGTGCCCAAAGCAGCGCTAGGGGGACTCCACCAGGAGAGAGGCAGAGTTGGGGGTGGCCAAGGACCTGGAGCTAAGCGCTGAGGCTCAGGCCCTCAGGAATGATGGCTTAGGAGGCAACAGCACAAAGCAGGCCAAGTGCTGGGCCAGGCTGGGATTTAGGGAGAGAGCCCCTGCTGCGGAGGGGAGCTGAGAGACTCGGGGCCATGGGTGACAGGGTGGCCACCAAGCACTGCAGACCCCACCTGTGCATTAGGAACCTTCTAAAGCCCAGAATCATCCCAACCCTTAGGACAGTGTCTGATAATAAATACTTGTTGAACAGTTTAAAGAGATGCCTCTTTTTGCTGGACTTTGGAATACAGCAACAGGTGCCTGGTCTGACGGGTGCCACCGATTCCCCGGCGACAGTCGTCATCATTGTCATCATGTCATCTGCCTGTCACGTGCAGGGTGTTTACCATCCTACGGCAGTGTGTTTATACACTCCATGTATGACCTCGTGGAATCCTCACCACCTGAGGGAGGCAGTGCCTGTTTTGTAGATGAAGGAACTGAGGCTTAGAAAGGCTAATCTGCCCAAGAACACACATTTAAACAGTAGCAGAGTCAGATTAAAGCCCAGGTTTTTCAGATTCCCAAGCCTGTGCCCCTTGCGCAGGCTCCCTCCAGCCTGTCCTGAGTCTGGGACTTGCCCTGCCTTCAAGTCAGGGCCCCAGGAATGGGGGGCCACTTTGTGCTTCAACTCTACCCACCATTTAGGTAGCACCGTGGCTGAATGCAGGGAGGGAGGGTGGGGGCCGGCAGTTTCCTGACCTGGAGCCTCTCGTGCCTCCTCCTTCCAGCCTCTCCCCACAGCCTGTTGCCTCCTGCTTCCTTGTCCCTGCCACTGTCCCTGAGCTCTTAGGCAATTCCTAGCTAATGCCCTTGGAAACATGGCACAAATTCCTCCCCATGGGTCTCTGACCCTTCCTGAGAGAAGAAACTGGGTGGGAGTGCCAGACTTAACTTCTGACTGAATTACACTGATTGGACATAAATCTGCTCCTTCTTTCCCCTCCATGAGCACCTCTGGAATGTCTGCATCCTGAGGGCAGCCGTGCGAGGGGCTGTCCCAGACGTGTCCTCCTGCCCTGAGGAGCCCGGCCCTCACCTTCACTGCTCTGGCTGGTAGACTGCTTTCCCTCCAGGCTTGCTCTCTCTTCTCACCCAATTAGCTCCAGGGAAAACCGACACTGTCCTCTGCTGAAAAGAGCCCAGGGGGCCTGCTGCCTCTTGGGAAGCAGTGGAAGGGCAGGAAGTCTCACCAGGGCTCTCTCTGGGAGGAATCATGAGGACATAAGTAGACAAGGGGTCACCTGGTCCCAGGTCACTAAGAAAAGGTGAGGAGGTTACCACCTAGATGGAGGAAAAAGTGCCAAACACCAGCCTCCACCTGCAGTTCTGTGGCTGAGCTGGACACCACTCGCAGCTCTGTGTCATCAGGGGAATTGTCGAAAGAACTGGCGTTAGCACACCACCTCCCTGCCCAGGTCCAGCCCTGTGGGCTCTAGCTGAGCCTGCAGTTGCCTGAATTCTCGAGGTACCTATGGCATCTTCCCAGGCAGGCAGCCCTTCAGGAAGAGGACCAGAGGAGTAACCAACCAGAGAAGAGGAGCTGCGCCTAGAAGCTATGTTCAGAAAGGAGCCACTCCTGCCACTGCTGCTCCCTGCAGCCTTGGGCTGTACCTGTACCCTCCCACTGCCCCAGTCCTCTGTGAGGGACAGTACCAAGTGCTTGGCTCCAAGCATGTGCTGAAGTTTTGTTCACTGTCCCACAACCATAGAACGACACAGCCGAGGGATCAGTGAGCAGCCTTCCACCCAGGCAGGACCTCTTTGACAACCTCTGCCCACACCTGGTGGAGCAGGACTCTGCCCACAGCTTAGGGCCTTGCCAAACAGACCCGGGAGCCCCTCCTGCCTTCCCGGCATACCTCCATCCATCCTTCTTCAACACACCAGGCTGCACTTCACTGGCCCCACTGGCCCTCTGGTCTTGCTTTCAGCCCTGTGTCCACAAGTGACTTCACTGCCTCACCCCTTCCCTGCTTGCATCCCACACTCAGCTTCCTGTCCCTGGTTCTCGTCGGCAGTCCCTGTACACAATCACGTCTTAGATCGGCTACTCCAGACAACAGTCAACAGCTGGCTGGGCCAAAGGCACAGCTGCAGTCCCTCCTTAGGGGAGGGGCTTGGGCTGCTCTAGTTCACAAGGAGGTCACAGCAGCTGCAACAGTTTTTAGGCCCCATGACAGCCTTGGGATGCCCGGGCTGGGGCATGGCAGGAAAAGCTGACCCTACGCCAGGAATAAGAGTTGCACAGGGGGACTGCATTTGGGGCTAAGGAGCCAGAAGCCGGCCTCAGGGGAAAGGATGGCCCAACTTTAGCATCTCTGATGGCACTAGCCAGACGCTCCGAATTCCCGGAGCAAGCTGGTACCCACAGCCCTGGACTCCGTGCCCTCCTGCCCGGGCAACTCTGGAGCCTGGGCGTGGAGGAGAGTGGAGAGACGCTTGAGGAGCAGCAGCAGGGATGGGAACCTCAGACAGGCAGCATTTCCCTCTGTCAGCAGAACGGGGAGCATGGTGGCGGTGGCGGTGGCTGCTCAGGAGAGCGGTCACCACGGCTGCCTTTATTACCCACCATCAAACAGCAATTTCTTCCCCAGCCTCCTCGCTAATTACCCAGCCAGCGTTCTCATCTCGTTTTATTACTGGAATTAACAACGAGTTCAGAGCGTGGAAAGCTATTAAGATGTGTGATTAAGCCACATTCAATTAGTTTCTACAAACAATTTAATTGATGTTGCAGATAGAATTAACAGAAGGTGATTGTGTGAATGGCTCCGCTGGCTGCAAAATGGGGGAGGCTGTGGCGGGCTCTCTTGGGCCAGGCAAGAAGCGGGCGCGGGGCTCAGTCTCGCCCACCAAATTGGCCTGTGTGTGTCCCATCCGGCCCGGCCCCCATCCATAGGTGAGTCACCAGCCCTGATGCTCAGGAGAGACCCTTGCTGGAGAGGAGAGCCAGACTCAGCCCCGAGTTCTGTCGGAGCCTCTGGAGGTGCCAGAGCTCCTTCTTGACATGCTTCCTGCCAGGGTTTAGGGTTTGAACAGCCCCAGAGAGAAGCGGCTGCTCACAGGTAGGGAGGTGGCCTGCTCACTGCTGGCAACCGAGGAGCACACTCAGGTTGGAAGGTGGCTGGGGGGTGGCGGAGGCAAGGCAGCAGCGGAGGGAGGGAAAGTGTGGGGGTGGCACAAACGGGCCTCTGCCAGAGTCTCACGGACAGCTGGGAGGGAGTGCACAGCACCACAACCGGCCCTGCCTCCACTCATGTTTTCACACCGTGTGTAGCCAAGTGTGCTTTGGGGCCTGTGACAGGATCTGGGTGCCAGGACTTCCCAGCCTGTCCTTGCAGCTGAGTTCCAAAAAGTCACACAGTGCAACAAGTGCGGCTTGGGAGGGCACTCCTGTGGGGCTCAGATGCCCACCCTCGCCCAGGCAGGCAGGCCCAACTCCCTCCTTACTGGACGGCACTCGCCCTGCTATGAGCTGTTCTGTGACCCTCTCAGCCAGCCCCAGAGGGAGGTGCTCTTGACAAGCACAGACAAACCCGGGCGATGCTGAGAGCCAAAGTAATGGGTCCAAGCCTTAGCTCAGCCACCAGCTGGGTGACTCTGAAAAGCCACCCTACCCCCCTGAGCTCTGCTCTCCAGCTGGCTGTGTTTCCTATTCCGAAACCAAAACCTAGCCCAACCCCACAACCCACCTTCTTCCACAACCCAAGACGCCCTCTGCCACCCCTCTCATCCTCACTGCCTCCACTGTTGGCAGTGGGCACAGACTGTGCACCAAGCTCGGCCACAGGCCACACAGAACAGAAAGGAGCAGGTAAGAACAGTCAGCCCCACACAGGCGGGGAAACAGACATTTCAAACAGGCCCGTTCCCAAGCTCTCCCACTGAGATGGACAGCTGGACATGAGGAGAGGGCACAGTAAACGGCCCGGTGTCGGCTGTGAAGCGCCTCAGGCAGGCAAGGTGCCGGCGCAGTCTCCAGGCCTCAGCACTGTGACTTGCTATCTGTGAGTGGCCCTGACACCCTCAAAACCTTTCGACAGGGAAACACTGGGACTCTCCTCATCTTCTGGCCCTTCCTTTAGTGTAGAGCTCTGTACACAGTAACAAAGCCTGGCACCCACAGAGCGCTCTTTGGCCTCCTATGACACTTTCTGCCTGTGCCATCAGTGCTCTTCCCAGCAGGCCTGGCCGCCTCTCTCGGCGCCTCGCAAGGACTCAAGAGCGGGACAAGGTCTGTGCTCACGGTGGGAGCCTGGGGTCAGGCGGGAGCTCAGAAGCTGGTTGCACTGAATGCGGGGGGTCCTTCCTCCAGTCTCCCAGGTACCAGGCCCTGCCCTGTGGAGTAGGGCGTGTTAGGAAGGCCGAGGAGCTGACTGGTGCTGTCCCCTGAGCTGAGGGGTAGGATCATCATCTGAGGAATGGTCAGATGCCGAGAAGCCCAGGAGGACCAGGCCTTCTCTGTGTGTTTTCTCCGCAGGGCAGTCTGGGCAGTGCTCTTGGGCCTGGGTGATGGCCAGGACACAGGGACCCAGCACCTCTTGGGTCACGCCTTCCTGACATCTTGGGCAGATTCAGAGGCAGGCCGAGGGCCTCTGGGCCGGGGGGTGGGGCCGGCCCACGTGCTGTGCTCGAGGGGCTTCACAGGAGAACTCATTAGCCCCACAGTGGGGTGGTGACAGAGATGGATTCCGGTGACAGCTGTGTGCTGGAGCCACGCGGTGAGGGGAGGGGAGGAAGGAAGGGTGGGGGAGCTGCACAGGGGCCACTCCAGTCACCAAAACACCCCCCAGCTGGGACACAGGCCACGCGGGCACCAGACCGTCTTAACCACAGACAAGGCCACCTTCGCTCCCCTCTCAGGAGGAGTTGTCTGAAGCTCTAGCCCATTCTCAACAGCCCTGTCCTCTACCACCCCAGGCCCAGGAGTCCGCAGCTCCGCGCTGGCATGGCCCAGCTCAACACAACGGCATGGCAGCATCAGCTTCCTCACTAGAATTTCCGTGGAAGTGGCCGAATCCCACTCCTTCAACAACTGGAAAGTCTGACGTAGAGCCTGACCAACCAGAGGGCACGTGAGGGGCCACCTGGTTCTTGTGCATGTCCCAAGCTGCCCGTGTGAGGTTCTTTCTCCAGGGACGAGCCATTTGAAATCACTAAGGTCTGCTTCCCGTCCATCCTGACGCCTGTCTGCTGCCCATATTCTGTTATCCTCCCTCTACCCCTCCCATACTCTCCCCCAGGAGGCTCCTCCTCCCATACTCACATGCAGGCTGGGGTGATAGGTGAGCAGCCCGTTGTCACAGAGTGTCACATACTTTTTCTTCCACTCCTTGTTCAGGGACTTGCCACTCCGCTTCAGCAGGATCCCCTGAGAACAGAGGTCTGATCAGAAACCAGGAGCCAGCCCCCGACATCACAGGGCATGGGAAGGTCATGGTGTCGTTAGCCAACACCCTCCTCCCTTTGAGCAAAGCAGGCTTCAAGGACCTATCGTTGAACTTGGGAGGGCCCCTGAGACTAGTCCTTCCTTAGGACTCGGTTCTCCCTGATCATCCACCAGGAAGCAGCTGGACCACTGTTCTGGCAGGTGGGCATCTTGCCTCCCCAGTGTGTGTGTGGAGCCACCTTGGCAGGAGAAGCCGGTCAGGGGCGTAGATGGTTGGGGTGTAGATGGTCAAGGGTGTGGACAGTGGCCATCAGTCATGCTCCTCCCCAGGAGGCTCCAAGGGTCAAAATAGCAGAGATTTCATTAAGGTCCTGGCCTTCCACCTTGAGGTAGCTCCAAACAGGGCAGAACAATCCCCTAATTGTCCCAAGCATGCCCTAGACCACCAAGCCAGGCAGCCGCAAGACCCAGCCTTCCCTCTCAGCAACCATACTTCCTGCATAAGCCAGTGAGACACGCTGAACACAGAGGCTGGATGGCTGGAAGGATGAGCTAAAGTGCCACAGCAAGGAGCCTGCCCCTGGGACAAGGCTGGGGCCACAGCTGACACCCAGTAAACATCTATTGGAAGCACTGGGGAAAAGCCCCCTAAAACCCTGGCTGCCAGACGATGAAGGCAGGAGGTGGACCCCACTAGGAAGATGGGAGGAGATGATGCCCAACCACACCGTGGTCTCCTTCTCAGGAGAAGCCTGCGCCTCTAGTGAGAACCCCCAAAGATGCCCTCACTGGCTCAGGCTGTCTCCCTCAAACAACACAGAAGGCAATGCTGGGAATGGGAGGCGGGGTCAGGCAGAACCAGGGAGCGCCACAATGGAGACCAGGGGCAGATCCAGGACCAGCATCACTATTCATGGCCCCCCATCCTCCAAAACCCCCAACTCAAGAGGGTTGAGAAGAGGCAGCGCTCCCTGGAGACTTCAAGGCAAAAATCCCATAGGGGGAAGAGGGGCACAGGTAGATCCGCAAATGGGGGGGCTGAGTGTGAGGTTGGGGGGGTCAGGCTCACCCTCAGCTGGGAGAGCAGAAGGGGAAGCACTCCCAGCAGGGACACTCGAAAGGGCAAATTCTGCCTGTACTTAGAGGAGACAGCACCCAGAGAGGGAAGAGGCCGTAAAGGGATGGAATCTCCTTTAGGAATAGAGGGCCCTGCCCGAAGGCAGCCAACAACATGGGGATTAAGAGACGCAGGCACATGGAAATGGTGGTCCCTCATCTGCAGCCTGTGGTCCTGACGCCCAAGGGTGGGGGGTAAATACTGGATTCCATTGCAACTTCCTCCAAGTTCTTCCTAATAGAGGGCTCAGCCCCAGATGGATGCGATTAGGATAAAAGTGATTCTGGTTTTCTGGACCTCTCCCCTCCCCAACAGGGGGTGAGGTGGAGGCCAGAGAGGGCACCCACTTCCAGTGGCCAGGGTAGCTGTGACACCAGTTGCCAAACTTTCCAGCACATTTCACATCCTTGCTGCTGCTCCTCCAGCCACCCCAGGCTGGAGGGGTGAGGAGAAGCCTAGCCCGAGCCTCTCCCCACTTCGGACAAATGGCATTGCAGAAGGTGTGCTCATGAGGGATGGGAGCTGAAGTACTTGGCCACGTGCAGACACATCCTGCTACCTGGTCTCCCTTGGCCTGGGAGACCCTATCCTCAGGTGTTTCTGAAGACAAGCGGCATTAAGGGGACCTTCCAGAGGCAAGTGGGCCCTGTCTCGTGGTCTGTGGAGGAGCCTTCAAGTCTGGGCCTTGGTGACCTGCCTCTGGGTGTGGCATTCCTGTCACTGGCCAGGGACCAGGTGCACTGAGAGCTCAGCAAGCAGTCAGCCGTTGTTTGCTGGCTCTGCTCTCTTTTGGGAGCACCAGCCTGCGCTAAGGCTCTAAGGCCCACCGGCTCTGGGATTCCCTAGAGTCATCCCCAATCCTCCCCGCCCACTACACAGGCCAAAGAAAGAGCCAAGTGTGAGGGATGGACCCAGCTCCCCGCCCCTGTTCCGACTCCCTTCACCCCACTAGGCGTGCTCCCCTCTCCCACCCTCCCAGCCTTCAGCAGGAGACTCCATGGCCAGCTCCGGCCCCGCTCTGCTCCCTGCCCCCAGCGGTGCGAAACGTGGAGCCACTCAAGGCCTGCGCTGCTGCTGCCTGCGGTTCCTCCAACAGTCAGGGTGGGGACCGGGTCTCCGCACCTTTCCGACTCAGACACGTGTGGCTCCTCCCTCCTCGGGGAGAATGCGTTTCGGGGCGGGGGTCCCTCCTCCACCCTGACCGCCCCCTTCCTCAGCAGCGCCCTCCCCGGGCAGAGGCGAAGGAGCCACTGTAAGGACGCTCGTTAGCCCGGGGCACGGGTGGAACGACCCGGCTGCTCCTTCCCGCCCTGCTCTTTGCAGGCTCCCGGAAGCTACTGGGAGGAGACTGGCCTAGCCCGCGCCTCTCCCCACTCCCTCTCCAAGGAAGCTACAGGGGTTCCTGCTCCCTCCCCGGCCGGCCGGCTGCGCGCGGCAGAGCAGGAAGCAATCTGGGGCGGAATGGGAGCGGCGCGGAGGCGCGGAGGCGACAGCCCCCAGAGGACCCGTTCCCGCCGCCACCTCCCTCCCAGCTCCGCCAGCCGACTTAATTGCGGAGTCCGGATTGATTGGGAATGCAAATGGCAACTGAAATGCAATCTTCACTCCCAGCAGGAGCTGGGGGGGGGGAGGGGAAGGAACAGAACCGGAGAACGGGACAGGGGGGCGGAGCACAGGAGGGGCTGCAGAACTGGCGGGGCAGGACTGGGTGGCAGCGAGGAGGTCCGGGAGCGGGGAGGCGCCAGGAATGGCCACCGGACTGGGAGAAGAGAGCGGATGCCCCGCCCCTAGCGAGCTATCCTTACAGAACGGAAAGGAGCCGGCACCCCCTAAAGGGTGTCACTGCATCAGGCACAGGCCTCTGACACCTGCTCCCAGCTGGCAGCAAGACTCAGGACTGAACCGCTAGGGGTCTTCCTACTGACAGTCCCTGAGAGTTAGGAGTAAAAACACCCAAGTGACATACTGACTCCACAAGACTGGACCAGAGCCCCAGGTTCAAGTTCACAGGGCTTCCTCCCCAACCTAGCATCTCTCCATTTTTCCCGTGTGAGGGATTTAGGGAACAAATAAGTGAGCCCCTGACAAACACAACTCCCAGTGAGGAAAGGGAACATGTGGGACCCCAAGGAAAGTGCTCCCATTTTCCTAGGGAATGCTATGAAGTGTCTACACACCCACTCACTGTTCACGCCCTCCCTTACACTCCACCGTCAAGCAGGGAGCTAGGCGCCTCCGCCCAAAGCAGAGGGCATCATCCAGCAGGGGCCCTCACAAAGGAGGTGCCCCAAAGATACAGGATCAAATAAGCAACAGGTTTGTGCAGAGTCTGATTCTGCACAGACTTGCACACACACGCATGTGCCCCATGGACGGACAGGGAGACCTCTGGCTGCTGTCACTGTGCCCTTGACTTTTCAGGGGCCCTCCCAGTAGGCTGGCCCAACCAGAGTGGTCCCTGCCAGACATAAATGCGATGAACATTTCAAGGGACGTGTGAGTGGGAACAATTCAGATCACCGCATGGGACCCTGTGGGACCCTGCCCTCTGGGACACTACCCGGCTTGGGACTCCTCATTCTAAATGAACTTTCACTGGGAATCAGAAACCCCTACCCTTAACAAATGAATCCTGGTCACACTGACTGACCCCCTCCCCACAAGTGGTCACACTGCCTATGAGTCCCAGCCCAGGAGAGCCACACCTGACCACAGGCCTGTCAAGCCGGGCTCCAGTGCTCCGGCCACAACAGCCTCCCCTGTGGTCAAAACCTGGCAACACAGCTACCTATGTACACCACCTCTTCAACCACCAGATCCCAAGAAATTCTGTTCCAACTGCCCCCGTTCTTACGGGCACCCCAGTGCCTCACGCTCTCATCCACACACCAAAGACACGCCTCCCCACCCTACCCCAGCAGCTCTGGCTCAACACACCACAGGCACACTCTCTGTGGGTCAATGCCGTGTCCAAGGCAGGAACGCAACACCTCTGGTCTGGAAGAAGGCAGGCCCAAGTGCACCCAGGACTGACTCAGAAAGGAGGTGGAAGAGGTGAGAAAGTGGGAGAGGTGAGGTGGTAGCACCTCAACTTTTTTCTTTAAAGATAAACAGAAGCTCTTATTAACAAAACCATGCCAACAGACCTTGCGCTGGACTAGCCCTCAGTAACCCTTCAATGCAGGCTCCTCCGGTGTCTCATTTTCCTTAGAGAGAGAGACAACCCCCCTCCAGACCCAACTCCAGAACCAGTGGGCCAGGCTGAGGGCCTGGCTAAGCACAGCAGGTAGCTCTCTTCTGCCCTCCAGTGGTGATCAGAGGTATAGGCAGGGCTGGTGGCCAGAAGACGGTGGCGCAGGGAAGGCCGCTTCTCAGCGGAGGGAGAGCCCGGCCCTTGTTAGGGACTCGGCCTAGGAGGGTGGTGCTGGCCTCTAAGGCCATCTCCCCCATCACAGTGGCCTGGGAAGAGCCACGTTCCTGGGCCTCATTCTGAGCACCCGGGAAGGGAGGCGCTGACCTGCTTGATGGGGATGGCGCGGCCGCTCCCGATGCTGTCCACCTTGCACTCGGCAGCCTTCTTCTCCCGGTCCAGGTCAGCACCTTTCCGAGACTGGAAGAGAAAACAAGAGGCGTGTTAGAGAGGCCCGGGGTCTGCCAAGAACTGCCCGCCTGGACTTCCCGGCCTCCCTCTTGCCTCCCTCCTCCTGGGCAGCCCTAGCAGTGGGTCGGGCCGGGGCGGCGGGACGGGAAGGAACGGAGACCACGAGTATTCCAACGGGTTTATTCTTACACACGGCACCATACAGAGCAGCACAGGTCACTGAGCCGGCCCGCCCCTTACAAAAGAGCAAGGACAGAGAGGCCGAGGGCGCGAGGAACACGCCCGGGGCGGGGGCGTAAGAGAAGCGGGGGCGAGGAGGTGGACGTAGGGCTGCTGGTCGGGAGCACAGGGCGCGACAACCCGGAGCGCAAAGTCCACAAGTGAGTGGGTAGGCGGCCCGTCTGCGGCACAGACACCGCACTGCACGCACGTGGCGCCGAGCGCGTCGGCGTGGCCCAAGGGGCACAGTGGATGGACAGAGAGAGGAGAGAGGCCAGAAGAGGCCCTGCACCCTGTCAAGCTCCTGGGGCAGAGTCCACCCGAATGCGGATCCTAGGAAATAGGGGGAGGCCAAAAAGAGGGGGCAAGGCAAGCGCGGCGGTGGCGGCGGCTTCCGGAGCAGGAGCAGGAACGGCAGAGGTCCATGCAGGAAGGAGCAGAGGAGGGGAGGGGCAGGAAAGCGCCCCCCAGGAGCAGCCGGGCCAGGCGGGCTTGGACTCCCCCGCCCCTCTGGGCCTCGTCGCGCTGGCCAGCGCCGGGCGTGGGGCCGAGCTGCCTTCTTCTCCATGCAGTGAGCCTGCAGCGTCCAGCCGGGCCTGGTCCCCGGCAGCCCCCAGCGCGGGCTCCGGCGCTCCTAGCCTTCCCTGGGGGTGGGGTTAGTTACAAAGGTTCCCGTGGGTCTCTGGAGTGGGGAGCTCGGCGGCCGCTTCTCATCTGAGAGCAGTCCCAGGGCCCGGCCCGCCTCCGGCCCCGCACAGGGGGCATGTCCAGAGGTGCTGTGTGTCACCACCTGGTCTTCTAATTTGGAAGGAGTTGGAAAGGCCTTTTTGTTGATGAAAAGTTGGAAACAGTGGCACATATCTGCAAATATCGAAAGAATAAAGATTTTGGCAAGTTATACTCAAGCCCCGCACAAGTTGGTCAGCACCGGTGAGGGCAGAGACCCAGGCGCCTGGGGAGCGGCGGCAGCGGGATGAAGAGGAGGAGGAAAAGGAGGAGGAGGAGGACCAGGAGGAGGAGGAGGCAGCGGCGGCGGCGGCACCTGCTGGGCAGACGCTGGCCGAATGTCCACCTCAGCAGGGAATGTTATGTTCGCCACTCAGCAGCCCAGGCCAGCCCTCCTGTTCTCCCAGGCTGCCAGGAGCCAAGGGCACAGCGAGGGGACACAGGGCCACAACTGCAGCGTGGGAGAAAGCACGGCCAGAGGGAACAAGGAGAACAGGGCAAAAGAGCCGCTGGAGAGCAAAGCGCCGCCCAGCACCTCCACAGGCGGCACCGCCTAGTCCCCTCCTGGGCTCCACGGCCCGGGCCGCCACAGCCCTCTGCCCCTTCGGCCCAGGGAGGAGGAAGGTGGATGGGACTGCTGCCACCGGGTCCCCAGACAGAAGAGCCAGTCGGGGGGAGTGGGGTGCAGCCCACCCCAGCCAGACTGTGAGCCAAGAGGCCCCAACCACCAGAGGACCCCTGGGAGCCCAGAGGACCACCTCCCCATGCGTACAGGAACTGGGGCAAGAGTGGCAACGAAATGAGCACATGAAGTCACAGGAGAGACTGGGGACAGCACAACCATGTCCAGTGGGGGGGTCACTAGCCACAGAGCAGGCAGGACACGAGGGGCTCGCCCTCGAGCAAGCATGTTGCTGCTGGGGAGTACGATGAAGGAGAAGAGAGGCGGCCCCAACAGCAATGATGAGAGGGGAGGTCCCAAGAAACACCCACAGGGACGGCTGCACCTTGAGGCCACCTCAGGGACAACGGTGCAAGTGAGGTCACCACGGAAACAATGGAAAGAAAATATAAGGTTGCCACTGTGAGGATGGAGAGAATGGAAGGGCCGGAGGGAAGGCCGTGCCGTGAGCAGCCAGGATGGAGGGCAGCAGTCGAGGCAGGCAGCAGAGAGCACAGGATGGCAGGAAGCACGGGCGCCGGGCGGGGGGGAGGATGGGGGCTTGGCAGGGGCGGAGGAGAGGGTGGCAGGGCAGGGGAAGGCAGGGGGTGCCCTGGGGTTGCTACAGAGCTCACCGGCAAGGGGAAGGGGAAGGGGAGGTTAAGAATGGAACTGAGGCAGCGGATGACTGAGGCGCGATGCTAGGGAGCAGGGTGCCCGGGCCCTGGTAGCCGTCACCATGGACACAGGCACCCAAGGGCCCCGCAGCAGGAGCAGCAGTGGCACGTGTGGGCTCTAGCAGGCGCCCCCCCGCGCTCTCATATCTCAATGACCATGGATAGAAAGGAGAAGCTGCGCGTCTAGGCAGGGTTGGGGCCAGGCAGCTGCAATGCGCCGCGGAGCTGTCAGCGCAGAGGCTGTTAGCATGGATGGCCGCGAGGGCAGGTGGCGGGCTGGGGGGACGAAGGCAGGCAGCTGGGAGGGAGAAGTGAGCTGGGCAGGCAGAGGTGAGGATGAGTGAGCAGGGCTTGGAAGCACCAGCTCTGTCTGGGCAGGGTCCAGAGATCTGGCCTGGCCGGCCACACTCGGGCCCAAGCTGAGAGCCAAGCCCTGCTCTTGGAAAGAGGCGCGTGGAGTGACGCAGAGGGGTGGGCGCTCTTGTGACAACCCACACGGGGGTTCACCCACCTTTGTCTGGCCCAAGACTCCTGGAACATCCAGCCCAGCCCGGCTGGAAGGTTAGGGTTTGGATGGGCACTGTGTGTCAGACATTGGGAGTGGAGAGACAGCAGGCCCTGGGGCCTGAAAGCCAGGGTCACCCTCAGCCGGGCCAGCACGGCAGCCCCCGGGTGTGAGGTTTGTGAGGGGTGAGTGAGGAGCTCGCAAGGAGACAGGACAAACCTGAGAGGGAGGAACGAGGCAGCGTGGTGAAGCCCAGGAAAAGATGGCTAAGCCTTTGTTAAACCAATCACAGCGGTGGGTGGAAAGCATGAATGTCCCCTCGGCAGTGGGGTAACGGAAAAAGAGCCGGAAGGCGAACGGGGAGGCCTGGGCTCTGACTCTAGCTGGGCCAGCTAACCCTCTGTGTCGCCTTGGGCAAACAGCCTTCCGGCCGCCGGTGCATTAGCTGTTGAATCAAAGGGAGTCAGGGGAGTTAGGCCAGGTGAGTCCAAGGATCCCTTCGAGCTGACAAAGACACCCTAAGGGGCCTAAGAGAGAGGAAGGCGGCGGGGAGGGTGAGTGTGGGCGGCAGAGGGCCGGGAGGACTGTGGGGACAGGGTGAGGGCCGTGACCGGAAGCCCCTGTGGGCGCAGAGGAATGGTCTGGAAGACTCTGGGGGCACCGGCAAGGACCCTCGGGAGCCGTGTGTGTCTGAGGGAGAAGACTGCAGGTGCCGTCTTCCTGACTCGGGCTGCCCACGCCCCTCCTGGCTAGGAGTTCGGCTCTCAGGCCTGCCTGTGCAGCGAAGGCGGCTGGGCGGGGGAGGAGGCGGTCACGTACCGTGAAGATGTTGGAGCGCCGCTTGGACTGCTTGCGGATGGGTGTGGGGGTGGAGGAGGCAGCGATGGTCTCGATGCGCAGCTCCCGCTGGCTGATGCTGGGGGTGGAGGGGACTGAGGACGAGTAGTCGCTGAAGGCGCTGCTGCCGCCATTCGTGGCCTAAAGACAGAGAGGGCTGCTGAGGGCAGCTCTGGGTCAGGGAGTGGGATGGACACAGGTGGGCGCCGGGAATCCCTGTGCTAACAGGGCCTGGCCGGAGTTCACGGGCAGCAGAGGGGCCACTAGCCCCTAGACAGTATGGGGGGAACATGTGCATGGCCTGGAGGCCAGCGGGATCTGATCTACTGTCACCTTGCCAGGGCTGCTTCACTGGGGCAGCAAACCTTCATCCTGGGGCCCCAGCAGGAGTGCTTCTGCACCTAAGTCAGAGGCACAGGCTGGCAGGCAGGAATCAGCTGCAGAGCCTGGCAGCGAATGGACTGTGGAGTCCTGACTTGCAAGTAGTCTGAAGGAGGGAGAGGGTGGCCCTGGACAAACTCTCATTTAGGGATGTATGTTTAGAGTGCAGCGGGCCAGGAAGCAGGAGCCAGGAGTGGCCCAGGGCACGGGGGGAGGCTGAGGGTGGCTTCCAGCATACCCATGGCAGGGAAAGGGATTCTGGGACAGCTGGGGCAGAGAGAACAGAGCTTCGACTTCCAGGCAGAGTAAGTTGTAGATGTGGAACAGAGAAGGGAAAGAGAAAAAGAGATCACAGAATGGAGAAGAAACAGCATGGCAGCGTCTCCAGGACTCGGGAAGCATGCACCGTCGACCAGGTGGCCCGCACGGCTAACTGCCCCCACTAGAGCATGTGGCCTGATCGGCTGCCTCCCCTGAACCTGACCTGTACAAGGAGTATGGTGCTCAAACCACTGCCCTCCACAACCTGCCCCTCAGGACAGGGACCACTGCAGAAGTGAGCTGCACAAGCCCTACTTGGTCGTGTCAGGTGGGGCTGCTCAGAGACAGTAAGAAGGACCTAGCCCTGCTCCTCCTTCTTCCCACGAGAATGCTGCCGCCTTCTCACAGCCCTAAAGGAAGGGGTCTCTGAAATGCAACCAGGCTGTCACTGGAACGCCGGCTACAGCCAGGACAGGCTTTAGAAGGGTGACGGTCACTGGCAGAGATAAAATGCAGTGGCCGTTGGCTTGACCATGTCATCTGTGGCTGGCCCAGGACTTTCGATAGTGGGCATCGGGTAGGGAGTGTGGGCTGTGGACTGGTGGAGAGCAGAGGGAAGTGGGGACGGTAGCGGGAAGGGGCAGGCACCATGGGGCGGGGATGAGGCCAAGACTATGGTGCAGGCTGAATGGAATTTCAACCAATGTTTCCAAACCACATGCAAGGCTGGGAGGCCAGAGGAAGGAGGACAGGCGTGAGCAGGAGGCTAGCAGAAGTGGCAGGACGAACAGAGGCAAGACAGGCATGGTGGGAACAGGCGGGGCGGGGCGGGGCAGGTGGCAGGCCGAACCTGGTTGATGTGCACGGCAGGGATGGATGCAGCGGACACTGCCGAGTGGCTGGGCGAGTTGGGCAGTGACTTGCAGGGCCCGATGGCCAGTTGCTGCTTCTTCCGCAAAGCCACTACCTTCTGGGCCACTGCAGGGGACAGCAGAGTCAATTATACCCACTGGAGAAAAGTGAAGATCCTGGCTTAGCACCTCCCCCCAAAAAAAACACACAGCCTTGCTCACTGGGAGCCTTCCTACCGCCGGCTCTGGGGCCGCGGCTGCCAGTGACTTCCGCCCAGCACCCGAGTTACCGTCCTGGAAGACGCGCTCCACATTGAGCCCATAGGTCGCGCACGTCTCATAGTAGGTGCACCGCTTCAGATCTGTGGAGAGCTTGCGGGCTCTGCTGTCATCGATGACCCGGGGGTTTGCTGCACTGATGGCGTCTGTCGGAGGTGGAGGGGTGAGTCACTCATTTTTCGGAGAAGCTGGGGTAGTGTGATGAGGGGCATTTGGCCCAAGGGTGGGTGGGCAAACAGCCTGGCGAGTGGAACACACAGAGCACCAAGAACGCGGGCGCCTGGGTCTCATTTCAACCCTGCCATGGCCTCACTGAGTGCAAACCAGCATGCACTTAAACTCTGAGCACGTTTATTCATCTAAAAAGACACGGACCTGCTGGTCACAGGGACGCAGGTTTCAGCAGGGCAAACGCCCTCACACGAGCAGCATGGGGAGTGCTGAGAGCCCCGGTCAGCACTGGGAAGAGAGTGGGGCCTTGGAGGCTTTCTCACACCTGCCCACCCCTCCCCTCATGCATCCTTGCCCGGGGCCTCCTGCTCTCTGCCGGCTCCTGCAGGGCCCCGCCTCACCCTGTGTGCCCACAAGCACCATGGGCACCTCGCTGGCGTTGCGGAAGCTGCAGAGCCGCAGGAAGTAGTTGTACACCGTCTGGAAACTGATTTCATCCTCCAGGCTGAACACAAACACCACTGCATCTACCCAGGCAGCAAACTAGGGGAGACCAAGTAGAATTAACACTCGAACCAGGAGCCAGCAAACTCCCATGCAGGACAGGTGGACCCAACTGGACCCTTCTCCCTGGGCACACCAACTCTCCCAGTCCCAGCCAGCAAGCTCAAGAAAGGGCTCCAGGCACAGGGGTGGGCCCTACGCCCCAGGCAGGAGATCACCTGGAGCTCAGGGGGGCCTCCTTCATCTCGGATCAGCAGCAGGTAACTCTGGCCATCCACCACAATCTCCTTCTTAAACCGCCCCCCTAGGACAGAGCGAGAGATCAGGTCCAAAGCATGGAGAAAGAGCCCGGGGAACCAAGAAGAAATCTACAGCTTCCGACGGAGGAGATAAGAGGACTTGAAGAGGGCTGGAGACCTGCACCCAGACCCCAGGTGGTGGGAAGGTGGGGAGTGGGCGGCCTCCGGGCCCAGGTTGGGCCCGTGACACTCACCTTCAGGGGACTCCTCCTGGACATAGGTCCCCGTCAGATAGCGGTGCACCAGGGCTGATTTCCCGCTAGACAGGTTCCCCACTATGCCCTGCAGGAGAGGAAGGGGTGAGCGGGTCAGAGGCCACGAGGGAAAAGACCCATCAGGAAAAGCAAAGAAGCGGCAGGAGGGAGAAAAGCCAGGGCTGAAGGGGAAGAGAGAGGGCAGAGAGGGCCAAGCTGAGCAGAGGAGGGGACGGGAGCTGGAGAAGCAAGGCACAGGCCCGAGGCACCCAGCCTCGCCCCCCGGCTCCAGGCCGCCTGCGCTGCCCATGGGCGGCACTCACCACTTTAAGCTCCGGTACGGAGCGGCTCAGCGTCCACTCCTGGCTGTTCACAAACGAGTCTGCGGAAGACAGAGCCGCCCCGTCAGGGCCAAGGTGGCACACACACCTGTCCCAACCGCTGCTGCCTGTATCCCCTAGGATGCCCTCCCCAGGCCCAGGCCAGAGGACAGCAGTTTCCTCCATGGGACCCCAACCCTCACCCCTAGCTCCCTAGGAGGCAGTGGGAAGGTTCTTTTTGAGCAGACCAGAGTGGGATAGTCTTCAGAACAGGACTCTGAGGTCTGTAGGCTCTGTCCCCCTGGGTTCAGCCCTGTGTCCTTCCTCCTCTTCCTGCTCCAGAAGGTAAGTGTCCCCCCACCACGCCACAACTGGCCTAGTTCCCCTGGGGCCCAAATGTCAGGCCCAGGTTAGAGGCCACTCCAGCAGGTCTCAGACTAGACCCAAGGGCTGGGTTCCTGGTTGGGGGGCAGACTCCTGCAAGTAAGAACAGCGCACCCTGGCAGGGTGGGGCCACCCACCACATTCCTGAGTCGGGTGAAGAGGGAGGAGCCTGGCCTGGCCCTGTTCTGTCAGGGGCAGGTGGATACGGAGCCATCGACCCCACCCACCTCCTCCCTAAGCTCCTCCTTAGCAGGGAGGCCACCTCCTGGGTTCCCCTTCATTCCTGACTCTGAACCTGACTCTGGCAGGTCCCTTATCCCAGAGCCCTCCGATAGCCAGGCCCCCATCTCCATCACCTCCAGGTTCCACATGCATGCTCGTGCCAGCCCTGTGAACCCTCTCTGGCTGGGCAGCACTCTTCCCTCCTTGGCTCCCAGAGGCACTGTCCCACAGTTGTGTCAAAGAGTAGTTTCAAGAATCAGGTCCACAGCAGTCCCTAACCTCATACGCAGGGGCCTCTGGAGCAGGGGCAGCCGGAGGTGAGCGCGCTGCCCCGACCGGGAACTAGGAAAGGTGTCTGGCCCAGCCCCAGGCCCTCTGACTCTGGTGATTCTCCTTCCTTTCCCCGGCCGCACCGGAGAGCGGCCCGTCCTGGGCTCCCCTCGCCCCCCGACCCCGGCCCGGCCCGGCCCGGCCCGGCCAGCCCGTTCTCTTCCGCCACTGCCGAAGACCCCAAACACCGGGCGCCGACGGCACTCGGGCCAGCCCGCCAGCCCTAGGCAGCCGGCCTCCCCACGGGCGGGCCCGGCCATGGCCATTCTCCCGCGAGCTGTTTTCTGCCAGGCGCCCCCCAGGTCCCCGGGGCCGGCCCCCTTACCGCTGGGCGCGCGCAGGAGCTCCGGGGCCGCGGCCGCCCGGCGGCTCCACAGCGGCGCGGCGGGCGCGGGCTCCCTCCGGCGGAAGCGGCTGGTGAGCAGCCTCCAGAGGCCGGCGGCGGTGCGGGGGCGGCCGGGCTCCGGGGCGGCGCGCGAGGCGTCGGCGCCCAGCAGGTCGCGGCGGCTGGGGAAGGCGCCCAGGGAGCCCGTGTCGCCGTCGCTGCGGGTGCGCGCGCGGGGCGGCCGGGCCAGCAGCCCCGACTCGGAGCGCCGCACCTCCTGGCCGCGGCGCAGGCGGAAGCTGAAGCTCTTTTTGAGCGCCGCCAGGCCGCGCCGGGGCCCCTCTGGCCCGCGCCCGCCGCGCAGCACCGACCAGCGCTGGCTGCTCCACAGCGCCGCGCCGCGAAGGAAGCCCGCGCTGCCCGCGCGCCCTAGCCCCGAACCCGGCGCCTCGGCCGCCGCCAGCTCCAGGCGGTTCACCTCCAGGAACGTCATGCTGGCCGGCCGCGGCCGCGGAGTCTGCTCTCCCCTGGTGCGGCTGCGCCGGGCCGGCGCAGGGCTGGGCGCGGGGCTAGGCGCGGGCGAGACGGGCGGTCCTGAGGGCGCCGGGCTCCGGCAGCCGAGGCGCGGGCGCAGGAGGCCGAGCAGCAGGCCGCGGGCGCCGGTGGGAGGCGGCTCCGGGCCGGCCGAGCATACGCTCCGCGGCCGCGCAGGCTGCTCACGGGCAGCGCACAGGGCGGCCTGCAGGGCGGCGGCAGCGCGGCCGGCCGGGGCGCCGTGCAGGTCCAGCGAGTCGCAGACGCTGTGGGCGCGGCGGCAGGCTGCGGGCGGCTCCCCGGGACGGCTGTCCCCCGGCGGCCAGCCCCGCTCCATGCTCAGGGCCGGTGGGCGCGGGCCAGGCCCATGGCGAGGGGCGCGGGGCAGGGCCCGGGCCGGGGCCGCGGCCGGGGCGCACGGACCTCCGGCCTCTGGGCACTTGGTGTGGGCCGACCGAGTCCCTTAACTCCTCCACCTCGCGGCCGGCAAGCCCAGACCTGGAGAGGCCGGGAGCCAGCCCAGCCCGGAGAGAGGCGGCAAGTCTGGCCTGGAACGCCCGGGAACGGCGGCACGGCGCGGGGGAGCCGGCCTGCTGGGGCAGCCCCCGGGAGCCCTCGGAAAACAGGAAATTCCAGCCCAGGGCTCCTCCTAGGATCCGGCAGGTAGGTGAGGAGCTGTCATTAGGAGCAGGCCAACTAAATAACAGAGGCCCGCCATACACTGGGCCCCATTTTGGAGGAAAGTGGGCCATTTCTCATTCTTCAAAGAAAGAGCCAGGAGAGCCTACACCATGAGGCCCTGAAGTATCAGCAGCCTGAGTGAGAGGTCGGGGCAGCCACAGCGGCTCTGCGCGCGAGTCCTCATCTGCAGCACACCAGCTTCAACGAGGTGGTCCTGTGGTAGCTTTTGGCTCTGACATTCTAAGGTCGAGAGTTGCTGGCTGCTACAGTATGCTTCTGTTGATGACTGAGGCTGTCTTTGGATATTATAAAATCCAGAAGATACTCATCTGTCTGGACTGAGTTAAGCGTCCTGCCTAAGGGCAGCAGAGAAATCAAAGATAACCTCGGCCGGCAGTTCTGGGTGAGTGACTCACTTCTGAGGCCGGAGCATCTCCAGGCCCCTGCTGCTCACTGGGTCTCACCTCCTGTCGGGATGATGCCTGACGTTCTATAAATGAACACACTCCTCCAAGCTTCGAGGCGCTTCCAGTTCATCATTGTGGGCTGCCCCCAACACCAAGGGCTCCCCAGCTGTGATTGACACTGCAGTTTAAACATTAGTCCTGTCCCAGGCTCTGGAGACCAGCCAGTTTCCTGTCACCCACAAAGTCAGAAACTCTCAGCTGCCTCAATACCACTGGCACATCAGGAGAAACAAGTTTAAGTAGTGGCAAGGGATGAGGGGCTTGCATTTCCTTTAGAGCCATAATACTCCCGCTTTCTTCCACCCCCCCAGTCCAGCCCAACTCCCACTGTCCCTTTCAACTTTAGAATTCCATGGACCTGGTCAGAGCCAAGTAGGAGATAAAAGTGGCACATTCCTGATGGGCTGGGTGGGAATGCCTAAGGAAGGCAGGGCCTCTCCATCCTAGGTGCTCCCTGCAGAAATTAGTGCTGGAAATTCCCAAGTCCTGGGCTGGATCTCCCAGGCCTGGAGAGGCCCTGGTGGTGAGTTTGTATTTCCATAGGACTAGTTATTAGCGCTGATGAGGACCACTTCCTCCTGTATGGGACACATGCTCTCCCATGATAGAAGCACCTGCAGAAGCACCCTTAAGGGTCCTCAGGCAGGCACAGAGACAAGAACACAACTCAGCGAAGCTGGTCAATGTCATTGAGCTGCACATCAAAAGGAAACATTTTCTGCCTTGACTTCCCTATCTGCGTGTTGCTGTCTGTCCTCCCTCTCACGCACAACAGGAAATGGCTGTTCTGCCTAAGAGTAAGGCTGCCCACTCACAAGCCCATCCTGCAAGCCAGTGAAAATGCAAGCAAAGGGCTGGGCGGCGTGGCTTAGGCCTATAATCCCAGCCTGGCCAACATAGTGAAACGCCATCTCTACTAAAAATCCAAAAAATTAGGCACAGCGTATCCGGCCTGTAATCCCAGCGCTTTGGGAGTCTGAGGCAGGCAGATCACTTGAGTCCAGGAGTTGGAGACCAGCCTGAGGAACATGGCGAAACCCATCTTTACAAAAAAAATATGAAAAATTAGCCAGGCATGGTGGCATGTGCCTGTGATCCCAGCTACTTGAGAGGCTGAAGTGGGAGGATTGCTTGAGCCCAGAAGGTTCAGGCTGCTGTGAGCCAAGAGGGAGCCACTGCATCCCAGCCTGGCCACAGAGTGAGACCCTGTATCAATAAATAAATATGAAGAAGCAAGCATAGGACAGCAGCTATGGGGGCCGACCTCTGGGAACTGAGAGGGGATGGAGACAAGGACACACCTGGAGACCAGGTGTAAGATCCCCTGGGACCCCGGGTGAGGCTGCCCTTTCCCGCGTCCCCAGGACCAGCTTTCTCTTTCTGGCAGGGTCTCACACCTGCCCATCACGACTCCTGTGGCCCCTCGCCCGCCTGCGCATACGCGAGCAGGGCACCTGAGGCCCAGACTAGCACAGGCATTGAACATAACCAGCGTCAGCTCTTCCTCCTGACATCCAGATAGTCCACAGAAGGAGGTCTCAGTCCTGGCATCTGCGCTCTCTGGCTCCAGGGAAGGCTGTGTTCGTCGTGTTATGCTCAATGCCTGTGCTAGTCTGGGCCTCAGGTGCCCTGCTCGCGTATGCGCAGGCGGGCGAGGGGCCACAGGAGTCGTGATGGGCAGGTGTGAGACCCTGCCAGAAAGAGAAAGCTGGTCCTGGGGACGCGGGAAAGGGCAGCCTCACCCGGGGTCCCAGGGGATCTTACACCTGGTCTCCAGGTGTGTTGCTGACCCACGGGTGAGCCCTGGCTGTGTCCGCTGTGGCCCACGGGGAGATGGCGGATGTCCTTCGAGGAGATGAGGGAGGATGAGCCTTCTCCAGAACGCCAGAGCTTGTGGCTGGCTCCGCAGGGAAAGGCTCTGGCTTCCTCCAAAAGCCGGGTGTGGTCCCAGAGCCATCCTGGCTCTCCCAAACAGTCAGGCCCTTTCTGCCCACAAGGTGGCAGCAAAACATCTTCCTGCAGCTGGGGCTTGGGCTGCAGCAGGGAAGGCTGGCCTCACCACCGCCACTGATCCGGGAAGGCAGTTGGTACCACACCAAGCCCTCTCCGCCCCCAGGAC